GATGTGTGAGCAGATCATCGATGCTGCAGGAGGGGACACCTTGATGGTCTGACTCCCTCTTAAGTTGGCCATGCTTTTGTAAAAGCTAACCCGAGCTCCTGGAAGTCACCCTAGTGAACGCATTGGCTCATCTACCTAGACATGGGTACAACAATTCCTTTGCCCTGTCGCTACCCTGTCCATCTAGGGTGAATAGAAATAGGCCTCTCAAGCTGGGCCTGGTGGCACAAGCCTGTAATCCCAGTATCTCAGGAGGCTGAGGAAGGAAGATCAAAAGTTCAAGACCAGATAGGGTGACAAAGTGAGTTCAAGGCCAAGCCCTAGTGACCTAGTAAAAACCTTGTCTCGAGAAGAAAGAGTCGGAGAGAGAGGACTGGGGTCTGAGAATGATTAATACATTCTAAACATTTATGTAGTTGTCAAAGAATAAATTAGAAAAGGACTGATGACATAGCTTGGTGGTAGGGATGTGGGATACCCTAGGTTCCACTGCCAGTACTTCAGAAAGAAAGGGAAGGAGGGGAGAGGGGAGGGGAAACGAGACCCCAGACTTCATCAGACTACTTGTTTTTACTAATTTTTGTACCTTTTATATGCATGTGTGTCTCTGTGTAGGACATGTCTGTACAAATGCACTCAGAGGCTAGAAGAGGGTGTCAGATCCCCTGGAGCCTGAGTTACAGATGGTTGTGAGCCACCAGATGTGGGTGCTGGGAACCAAACTCAGGTCCTCTGGGAGAGCAGGAAGCACCCCTGACCACAGAAACACTTCTCCAGCCCCAAGACTAGTTACTTAATCCTGGTCTCAAAGGATGACATCCCACCCCAATGTTGTCAAGTAACATATGTATTTATATTTGGAGGACTGACTTTCTTGCAGCACTGGAAATTGAACCCAGGACTTCCTGCACAGTTTTATAAAAGTCCAGGAACAGGGAAATGTGTTCTCCAGCGTTTGATCCTATTATCAGATTGACATGCATACATGTGAGCTGTGAGGTCAAGTGCTGTGGCAAGGGTTTCAATACAGAAATCAGAGCCACATAGAAAACTGTTCTACCTTGGGCAATGGTCTTGGCTATAAACCTGTTATGCTCATTTTGCAATTCCCCAATATTGTTTAGAGACTCTTATTTTGAAAATTCCATCAGTGTCAGTTTATGAACCAAACAACAGAAAAGCCTGATCTCATTTCTTTATTACCACACTTCATATCCAAGATGCTAAAGCAATATGCTTAGTAATTGAGCTTATAAATAAATTGAGATTCCCATCTCATTCATTCCGGGTGCTCAGTTTAGCCTATTTGGAGATGGGAATTGTCTGTTTTCCTCCTATCGCATCTCATAAGAAAAGCCGTATGTCTAAAGCACCAAGTGCTGGGCCTGCAGCAGCCCGGTCCTCGGAGCCCATTACTCTTGCTGAATTTACTGTCAAGCCCCCTCTTTCTTCACTAGATATCACAAAAATGCCCCAAGCGCCTCCAGGGTGAATGAGTTTCCTTACAGATTGTTACTTGAGCAGATTATGCTGAAAGGGCTTGGCTTCAAAAGGTACTTTGAGTTTCATTCACGGCACCCTCTGGAATACCAAGTAGAGTCAGTAAGACGGGGGGGGGGGGTGTACTGGAAGTGCAGTGCTATGTGCAGGGTTTGGTTAACGTGCTGTGTTCTGGCCCATAGTTCGTTTTCCAGAACGAAGGGCAGTAGAGCCATGAGGATTCCTATGACTTAACCCCATTCAGTGGAGGAACAAGAATGGAATCCCTCCCAGGATGGAGGAAAAGTTGCTGGGACACAGGAGGCTGCAGTCACCCCATCTCAGAGTTCCAGGAGATAGTTACTCATTCTAAAACACCCTGACTTGGCATCCTGAGCATAAGCTCTGAAAGTCTGGGAGGTACTAAAAAAACCTCTGCCTGGGCAGACAAGCTGGCTCGGTGGCTAAAGGGGTTGCTGTGAATTTGGATCCCCAGAAGCCACTAAAAGCTCCTCATACTAAAAGGCTGAGATGGGATCCCAGAGCAAGCTTTGGGGGACACTAGCCATGTAAGTGAGCTCTGGGTTTGATTGAGTACCCTACTTCAATGACATCAGTCTTGGGCCTCCACGTGCATGCAGAAGCATACACATGTGCCGCCCCCACCAGTGCGCCTACAAATGCAGATGTATCATGCACAGACACACCACATACACCATAAAAAAGCAAAACAACAAAAGTGTGTGCCTCTGTGCTCTGGTCTGTATACTTTATAAAGCCTTTAAAAGTTAGAAAACACCCAGGCGTGGTAGTGCACACCATTAATCCCAGCACTCAGGAGGCAGCAGCAGGCAGATCTCTGTGACATGGAAGCCAGTCTGGTCTACATACGAGTTCTAGGCCAGTTGCCATTACATAGTGAAACCTTGTCTTTAAAAAAAAAAAAAAAAGCAAACGTTAGCATCCAGATTCAGCCACATTGTACATTTGTATGTTTTACTGGAGTAAAAGTTGATTTGGGATTTGAGTTTTGCTGCTGTTAAACAAGACTTTGTACTTTTCTTACGCAAATGAAATATGAAGGCCTGTGTTCCAGGGCAGACTCACAGGAGGCCGCAAAAGTTGTCCAGGTCCCTTCCTTCTGCATCTGGGGACTTCAAGGTAATACCTGACATCTGGTTGGGATGATCTTTCCTACAGTTGGTTTAAGTATTATTTACTGAGTGCATTTTAATATACAAATAAAAATGTGTGTTAGATAGGATCTTGACAGTCTATGCCTGATTTTTACCCCCTCAGTGCTGGGAATTGAACTCCAGGCCTTGCACATGCTAGGCAAGCACCCCACTGCTCAGCTGCATCCCCAGCCCCTGTTAAAGGTGATTTCTGGGCTGGAGCTATGGTGCTGTTGGCAAACTGTCGTTCAGGAAGCCCCGGCCTCAATCCCCAGCACCACATCAACCTGGCCTGGTGGTACTGGCCTGTAATCCCAGCACTGAGAGGCACAGCAGGACAATCAGAAGTTCAGGGTCATCCTTGGCTACATAATTCAAGGCAAGCCTGGGCTAAAGACCCTCTTCCAAAAGAAAAAATTTCAGCACAGCACATCTGAACACGAGACATGTCATCATGTTTTCTACTGAGTGGAAATGTGTGCTTACAGTACAACCAGTCCTTTGTAGTGAATATTAGAAAACAGGGATGCTAACCACCTGTGTGTGTGCATGCACACACACACATCTCATCTTCTGTGCTGTGTTCTCTCATTTAGCTTTTCCTCCAACCTGCAGCTCCTACCTACGGGTAGCCATAGTCAGTACTTTAATCAAGGTCTGCCCCAAAGGTGAAGGTTGTTTTATTCTCATGGTGCTGGAGATTGAAATTACCAAGGATGGGGCCTGCAAGATGGCTTCATGGGTAAAGGCACAGGCCAGCACCCCTGGACTCTGATCTCCAGGACCCACAAGGTGATGGTGAAAACTGACTCCCCACGTTGTGTTCTGATCTCCACCTGTAAGCCTGGGCTGGCACCTCCCACTGCACCCAATAAATAAAATCACCCAGGATGTCGTGCTAGGCAAACATTCTACCACTGAGCTATACCTACAGCCCTAAAACCAGAGTGCTGCTCCATCATTCCACACCAAAGCACAGCAGTATAGCTTTGGAAATAGAAACAATGCCTCTGACCTTAGCTTTGTATGTTTTAATATCAGCAAATGAATCAGATAAACATTCACCCAAAGCAATTTAGCACCGATTTAGAATTTAAAAGCACCTTTTGTTAATAAAATCCTTGTCTTTGGAGCTAGAGAACTGACTTAGTGGTTAACTGAGATGCCTGTTGTTCCTGCCAAAGACTGGAGTTCACTCCCAGCACCCACATCAGGCAGCTCACAACCTCCTATAACTCCAGCTCCAGAGGGATCTGACCCCTGTGGTCTCCACAGGCACCTGCATTCACAAGCACATAATTAAAAACAAAAAAACCTTGCAGGGCATGGTGGTGCATGCCTTCAATCCCAGCACAGGCAGATCTCTGTCAGTTCAAGACCAGCCTGGTCTGCATAGTGAGTTCTAGGGCCACAGTGAGACCCTGCCTCAAAAGATTAGGAAAAAAAAAAATCCCTCATCTTTGGATGTGTATTGTCAGGTTAGATAAATACCCTCTGGAATGAAAATTTTTTTTCTGAAAATATTTAGTTACCTTTCCTCAAGCTGTTAGAAATTCACAGACATCTGAGGCTCAAGTTTTCTGTTCTAGTCAATACCGATGAAACTTCTGGAAATCCTGTTTTAGCCAGAGAAAGTTTAAAGCTGAAAAGTTATTTCTCACTTTCTGGTTCACTGGCATTATTAAATACTAAAAAATTATTTTCAGCAGAGCTGTAAGCTGCTGTTATAGACATCTCAAACCTTGTTTTAATGCATTCTATTTCACTGTGTTGAGATTCTCTAAACATTTGGATCTTCTAAAAGGGAAAAATTACAATTACACTTGGTGAGTTTTGGAAATACACTGGAGGGAAAAAATAAGACTCGGTGCTCATGTCAGATTCCTCCTGCACACACAGGTTTGTGTCTTCAGTGTAATTCAGGTTTGGACAGGTTTTCTCTAAATTACTTCCCGCGAGTTAGAATGATGTTAATCCCATTTATGTACCTCTTTCCTCTAAAGTTTGGTGTTTTCTATAGTTTCAGGATGTTTTGGGGAGGGGAGTAATTGATGCAGAGGAACCTGACTTTGCTTTTGAAGTGTAAAGTTTCTAGGAGCCTAGAGCTGCTCAGCCCTTCGGAGCACTGGCCGCTCTCCCAGGGGACATCATTTGTTCCGTGCACCCACCTGGCAGCTAACAACCCTGTAACTCCAGTTCAGGGGACCGCACTCCCTCTTCCAACCTCCGGGCGGTGCACGCACAGGTGCACTTACACGCATGCAGGCCACACACACACATAAAACAAGCGACTTTGCTCAGATGCTTAAAACTTTCACTTCAACGTGAACTACAAGTGAACCCATCGTGAGCCCCGTGACCACAGCACGAACCTCAGTGTGAACCCCAACACGAACATGCGAGCCCCCGCACGCCACGGACCCCGTGCACACATCCTGAGTCCCAGCGTGAACCCTAACACGAACACATGGGTCCCTGCCCGAACCCCAACATGAACAAGTGAACCCCAGGCGGGCCGTGCGCACGGGCCGCTCGCTCAGCCGCTCTGCTTGGCCGCCAGCCTCTTGTCGCGCTCCTCAGCGATGCTCAGCCGGATGCCCTTCCCGCGCGGCAGCGAGATCCAGGGCTTGCCGCCGTCGCCGATGACGAAGATGTTGTCGAGGCGCGTGGCGAAGCCGTGGCCGTTGGCGTCCTTCACGTGCACCACGTCGAAGCAGCCGGGGTGGCGCTCGCGGCGCGTGATGACGCCGACGCGGCCCAGGTTGGCGCCGCCCGTCACCATGCACAGGTTGCCGAGGTCGAACTTGAGGGCGTCGGTGATGCGGCCGCTGTCCAGCGCGATCTGCACCGTGTCGTGCGCGCGGATGAGCGGGTCGGGGTAGCGGATGGTGCGCCCGTCGTGCGTCACCAGGTACGGCACGCCCTTGGCGCCCACGGCCACGCGCCGCACCTTGCACAGCTTGTAGCGCGCCTCCTCGGCCGAGATGCGGTGCACAGCGAAGCGGCCCTTGGCGTCGTACACCAGCCGGAAGTGCTCGGCGCTCCGCTCCAGGCTCAGCACGTCCATGAAGCCGGCGGGGTAGGCGGTGTCGGTGCGCACGTGGCCGTCCACCTTCACAAGGCGCTGCATGCAGATCTTGCGCACCTCGGCGCCCGTCAGCGCGTACTTGAGGCGGTTGCGCAGGAAGATGCCGAGCGGCAGGCACTCGCGCAGCCGGTGCGGCCCCGACGACGGCCGCGGCGCGAACACGCCGGTCAGCTTGTCCAGCATCCAGTGCCGCGGCGCCGCCACGCGCTTCAGGTGCTTCTTGGGGCCACGGGCCATGGCGGGGTGCAGTGGCAGAGAGGCCGGCGGCTGCTCCCGCAGGGCTAGAGAAATAGGATGGGTAGCACTGCGCAGGCGCAGAAGCCTGACATCCGGGACCCTCCCACGTGGGCGGGGCCTCGAGGCCATAGGGGCGGTATTGCGCAGGCGCAGAAGTTCCCTGTCGGCGCCCTTTCCACGTGAGTGGGGCCTCGAGGACAGAAGTAGCCCTTGCGCAGGTGCGTAAGTGTACCTTCTGGACGTTTCCATGTGGGCGGGACCGCGAGGCCAGAGGGGCAGGGTGTGCGCAGGCGCAGAAGCTCCCCATCTGGGTCCTTACCACGTGGTCGGTGACTCTCTTTCCCCCTGCCCGACGTAGGCCAGAGGGGTGGCGACGTCCTGGCCCTTTCCAAGTGCGCGAGGCTCGAGCGCCCCCTGCAGGCGGGAGGCGGAGGTGGCGCTGCTCTCCCTCCTGCCGAGGAGCCTTCAGGGAGAGCGTGGACTTGGTCAGCAGGTGCTGTGGAAACCATGGAGCGTGCTGAAGTCGGCACCTGAGCCTGCTCCTTGAACCTGGGCTGCCTCCGGGCTGCCTCCGAGCGACCGTCAGAGACTTCTGCTCTTGCGGAGGACCCAGGTTCGGTTCCCAGCACCCACATGGCAGCCAACAGCTGCAACTCCAGTTCCAGGAGATCCGATGCCACCTTCTGACCTCCACAGGTCATGTGTGATGCACAAATGCACTTACATATATGTAGGCAAAATACCTACACACAAAATACAAGTAAATCAAAAAAGTTTAAAACACATTTTGTCATCTTCCATGAGCCAATCAGCCAGCTCCGCACTAGAGAAGAGCCGACAGTCCTTCCCACTCGTGCTTCCGTGCAAGCAGTCTAGGGCTGAGGCCATAGTGGTGGCAGAGGGCGCGGTCCTTGCATGGACCCTGTCCATCCCTTCCTGTATGATGCCTTTGGCACCTGTCACACAGTGTCAGGGAAGGGGGACATGAGAGCAGCTGGTTGTAGATCCAGGCAGCTAGTTCCCTACCTCTGCCCTGTCCTCCCTGGGGGAACAGAGCCCCCTCAGTTACCTGTGGCTTCCCCCAGGTCCAAACCTCCAGGATGCAGTCACTCCATGCTATGAAGAGCTCAGCCCCCCCACCCCCAGAATTTATTTTCATCTGAGAACCACATAACCCAAGTTACATAACCCAAGCTGGTCTCAAATTCATAATCCTGCCTCAGCCTCATGAGAATTGGGAAAATAGGCATGTACCACAGCTTGATTTTCTTTAAAAAAAAATTTCTTTTGGACATGTGTACAAGAAAATGACATGAGAAGGGTTCTTATCTTTCCCGGTTGTCCTCAGTGGGTGCCCTGGACAACGGCAAAGCCAGCGGGTTGCTGAGTGCAGTGGGCTAGTGTTCAGGAAATGGTCTACATTTGTGTATTTGGTTCCAAATTGTTATTCAAAAGATAATTACCTAGAGTTATGCAAAGTGCCGCTCCCATGAGCCACATATGACATTTTCTGCTTCACAGATCCCATGCCAGCATTGTGTTTCCTCACAGATTTTTTACTGAAGTATTTTTAAACAGTGACACACTGATGCTACTTACATAAACTTTAGGGAATCTCAACTTCTTTTCCAATGGTTGGATTTGCATATCTTCCCTTCCTTCAATGCTGCTTTTCACTCTAGTTGAACCGTTAGATAACTGCACTCATGGGAGGTGATGCCCTGGCTTGTTTCTTAAGGACTGATTAGCAGGCAGCTCCCCTCTACAATTTCTCAGCTAGGACTCTGTCTGTCTGGTGGCCACTTCTGCCTGTGAGCAGAGCAGAGCAGTGGTTGGTTCACAGAAGGAACAGTGCTCTGCAGCAGCTAGTCCATCTGCCCACGTTGCCCGACTTCCCTGGATTCTGTTTTGAGGCGGAAAATCAGGCCCTTGTTTACGTGCTGGAAGCAACTTTTGTTCATCTCTGATTCTTTATAACCAAAGATTGTATAACCAATTTATTTAGAACCAATTAATCATCAGTTTATCTATCACCAAACTGATGGATTAGGTTTAGTAGGTGATGTTCAGATTGCTGTAGATACATTGGTTCATTAAACTTCCAGAATACTGAACGAAGTCTTTTGAAAAGTTTAAAAAAAAAAGTCACATCGTTAAATGAAAATAGTTTGCACAGTTAGGATTAATTCACACACTGTATTTGGGCTGCTGATGGTTCTGTGCATATTTTATGGCACATAGTATGTTCAGGAAGAAATACATCTAAGTGTCTGTCGGCAAGGAGATTCACAGGTCAGATACGGAAAAAACAAAACTAGAGACTAGAATATACTACACAGATACTCAGGACCATAGTTATGCTGCAAATTTGATTTTATTTCTAATGGACTCAGTCCTGAAATCCATTAGATCGAGTACCTAAAAAAAGAAAACACAGAGAAATTATAAACCAATTAATTTATGTTGTTCCCATCTGAAGGGTCTAGAGTGAGAAAACCTTTTAGACAGAGGGATGTTAGTGCTCCTGTCAGCACTTCCATTTCTACAGAGGACCAAGCTTAGACCATGTTTGTATCTACTATTAAATGCCTGGTAGAGTTGTCAGAATTCTGTGACAGGAGGACAGTATGTTTTTCTTCTTGAGGCTGTGGGTGGGGCTAGCCCACTTGGTAAAGTTTTCCCCGGGCAATTAGGAGAACCTGAATTCAGTCCCCAGAACCCAGGTTAAAAAGCCAAGCCCAGTGGTGTGCACAGGAAACCCCAGTTCTAGGGAGGAAGAGATGAGCAGAGATGAGCAGATCTGGAGGGCTTGCTGGCCAGCCATACCAGCTGAATCAGTGAGTTCCAGGTTCAGGAAGAGATCGTGTCTCCAAAAACAAGGTGAACAGCATGTGAGGGACCACACTGAGGTACGTGTACACACACACACACACACACACACACACACACACGTCTCTCTTCACACTCAGTGGCAGCCAGTTCTCCCAAGAGTTAACAGTTCTCCACCAGTCCACTGTGAGGTGCTGGGCATCACCATCTTCCCAGCAGGCCTGTGGTATGCTCCATTTGGCTGAATGGGCACTGTCTTCATCTTTGACCAGCCTCTTGCACAGTGCTAGTCTCTGGCAGGGAGCCGGCGATCACTTGATAAATGGCCGTCACCACCACTTGTCACATCCTCATATCAGGCACAAAGGATCTGCCCATCTGTCACTACTGAACTTGGTTTTCTTTTGACTCAAAGGTGGTGTGTAGCTGGGATCCCTGAGAATACATCTCTGGCTATGGCAGGAATTTGCTTTTCTACTTGGGAGAAACACACACCCCAAAGCATGTTCTTCTAGGAGAGCTTCTTCTCATCAACAGCATCTCTTATACCTGTCAGCCTGTGGTACTCTCTATCCTGTTACCCTATGGCTCTTCTGCATGTGGCATAACTTAATTAAGGAATCAGAATGATGTGGACCCTTCATGGGTAAGGAGAATGAGTTTAGATAACCTTGATTGGATTTGGGGTACTGATAGGAACCATATGAAAGAGAGAGAGAGGTGACAGAAAATACTTCCATAAACTTTATTGTCAGTATTTAAAAATAAAGGGAAATATCTGACGCTGTGGTAGAGTATTCATAGATATACACAAGTAAAAGTGTCAAAATTCCAGGCATGAAGTTTTGGGAGTTTAATTTTGTTTGAATGTTTGGTTGTGGTCATCTACAGCTGAGACTGATCGTTGGCGGTATTACTGTGTTCATCATTTATAGATGTGGTGCATTTTAAAATCCAGACGGTCAGGTTCCTTGCAGTTAAGGATGTAAGCTTGATTCAAACTTATGTTTTGACATATCAACCAGGCAGCTTTATAATCCTCCAGATCAGTCTGTTAACGTGGCATTCCATGCATATAAGGAACTCCGTGCCGTCTTTGTGTTTTTAAGCCTGTGTTCCTTCCTTCCTCCTTTCCTTTCTGCTACTTAAACAAAATGTGGTTATAAAGAATACCTTCTGTTGGCTCATCCAAGTCAGATGCAAAGCTCTTGTCAGACAGCTGAAAAGCATGGACAAGAAGAACCTAATTTGCATATGTTCAGAATTAATAAGCTGAACCAATTAATAGATGACTCCCACGAAAGAAGTACTTGTTTTGATTAAACTCTTAGGAGGAGGGGGAGGGAGTGGAGGGACAGAGGGAGGAAATGAATATGAGTATCAGAGAGTCCAGGGCAAAAACAAATTAATTTTCTTTGAATTTAGTGGAAATTAAGGTTTGGCTCACCCCATAATTCTTTATTCTACTGCCCTGTATGGATAGGTGGAGGATGGTATTTGGTGACCTGAGTTTCCCAGGACCATCCCAGCTTAGCATTGATGACTGAGTGCTGGCTGGGTTGGACTGGTTGGCCACCCTTGAGGACAGTCCAGCCACCTGCATGGAAATCTCTTGCATCTGGAAACTTTACACTAGACTGTGTTCAGAGAGCTTTTAGGTGAATGAAATTTAGGACAGGGAAAACACACTTGTTAACACTGGACCTTGCTTTCATTGTGGTTTTTAAAGGTAGTGTGTCAACTTGTGAGCTTAGGATTTTTACAGCCTCAGCTTGATGCATTAAATGCTCATTGTACAAAGCACTGAGCTGAATAAGCCAGGGGAGCTTGGCTGAGGAAGGAAGAAACCAGTGTTAGTCTTCATTTGATCATTAAGTGACTGCGTATGGCCTATGGACTGGAAATACAGCAGCATGTGAGAATCTGTCAGTGAGCCAGTGAGCATGGCTGCAAAGAGGATGGAAGCAACAGACCACGCGAGTCCCTGCCATAGTCACTGTGGTATTGAGACTGTTGGTGTTTACCAGTAGGAGATTGAGGTGCTGGACAATGGGGATCTTTTTGTGACCCTGCAAGCCTGAGATGGGGCAGCATGATGTTTGGGTACAGGACACCTTCTCTTCCTTGGGGTACATCAGGGAAAGGGCCCTTCTTCACACAGGTCAGTGGGCACCTAGGCACACAGCTTGTTGAACAAC